TAAGATAATCTGCTTTTAATTGGGGATATTTTTATCCGCACTGTCCTTTTTAGGTGCTCTGCACTTGGAGCACCTAAAATCATGCTGAAAACTTCCTACATTCCATTCCAACAAGCTCAAAGCCTTATCCCCAAATAGCTGATAAAATCCAAACCTTTCGATCACTAAAACTGACCATATGCTCTCTACTCTCTCAGCTATGGCCCAGTCTGTCACTTCTCCCTCTGGTTTTTGGTTTTTCCTTCAATTATACATTTTGAAACCTTTTGCTTACATTTTTGTATAGTCAAGATAGCTATAGAACAAACTTAGAATAAACATGGCTTCTAACCACTGATTCTGGCATGACAGACCAAGTAACCCAAAAATTTGACCTAGTTTATCATCTTGCCCAAAAGTCAAAAGGTAAGTCAGACTGAATATTCTCCCAAAGATCTACATCTGTAGGCTGTTATTGGATAATAACAATGATGATGGCAATCTTTCTATTTGAAATGTCTTCAGAATAAATGTCTGAATACAGTTAGGTTCTCAATGTTTCTACCAAGGAGTAACTCAAAATTCTTTAAACAAGCACTCAACACCAACGGGCCTATGCTTAAAGTCCACAAATGAACTTAACTAAAGTAAGATAATTGGTATTATTCATCTTATTTGAGGGGCCTGAGACTCGGATTTTCTCTTTAACTCATCTTATTTGACCATTAATACCTCATAGAATAGCAAGAGCTATGTTGAGATGTAGACTTATTTGAGATGAGAAGCAAAAACTAGTATAGGTGTGGTAGTCATACTGTGGCTATCTGGAGCCACACACATTGGGCTTGCCCATACATTTGTTGCCTCCCTCAGGAGCCCTCTCAACACCTGTGTGCAGCCCTTGAACTTAACCTTCAAGCACTGGCCTCCTGGCTCAGCCTGATACCAAAGGCATACCACCCAGACATGTAACGTAGGCATTTCTTCCTTACAGACGTGTGACGTAGGCATTTCTTCCTCAGATTCCATGTCTCTTGTAAGTAGGACTTGTCTTTTCATTTGGATTATGCCTTCTTGGTTCTTGAATTTTGTAGAGAAATAGATGGTCATTCATCTCTCTACAGTTAGCATGACATGCTACACCCTCCATCTGTCTTAGGAAAGTCAGTAGCCTCCTCTTCTGGGGCAAGAATAAAATCTTACCTGTCTTTGACTTGTATCTTAAATGCACTGAAACAGATGTACCAAATCCCTTATGTTTTTACATTTACATGTTTTTTAAATCTATTTATTTATGTTGTTATATGTATGAGTGTTTTGCCTACAGGTATGTATATGCACCACTTGTATGACTGATTCCCACAGAAGCCAGAAGAGGACATCAGATCCCCTGGAACTGGATTTACAGATGGTTGCTAGTCACCATAAGGGTGTTGGGAATTGAATCCATGTCCTTTGCAAAAGCAGTAAGTGCTCTTAGCCACTGAGCTATCTCTCAAGCCCCATATGAGTGTATGTTTATTATTATAAACTATACGGCTGGTGATGTAGCTCAGTTGGTAGAGGGCTTGCCTAGCATAAATGAGTTGAGGCTTGTCTGGGACACATGAGATGTTGTTTCAAATATAAATAAATAAATAAATAAATAAATAAATAAATAATAAATAAATATAAATAAATAAATAAAATAGCATTGTATTATATTACTGAAAAACATGCTGTTTTAACTATCAGACCCTACAAACTCCCAGCAGTGCGAATGGCAGGGAGAATTGTGTGTTTAGTGAGAAGACTTGATGTTACTGGGTTGAGTCTGACAGAATGAATGGAACTTGGAGCAACAGCATTTCAATCCTGAAAGCAGAAAGTCTCTGGTGACTTCACTCTCCTGTCAAATTCCGGTAGTTTTGATGCTTTTCTTGCTTCTATTTTCGCTGTGAGTATCACACTTTTTCATATCCACTGAATGTGAAGCAGCTTAGTGTGTTACTTTTGGGGACTCAGGATTTTGCTAGGGATGGGTAACAAAGGATAGATATAAGTCTATGATGTTTTGTCGGGCTGCTAAGGAGTATATTTTCTTGGCTGTGGCAGGAGGTAATTATTTTTTGTTTGCTTGTTTTTGACACATGAAAAATTTGAGACTACTGTTTCAACTATTCCAAGACATTGGTGCTCTGTTTAGCAGGAAGGGAAAATGTATTTCTTGTAAAAGGAATTGCCAACTCTGGTTGTCCCAGCAGATGCAGTGCATCTTTTCAAAGGATGAACAGCTCTGAAACCTCACTCTTTTAGCATTCTGTGACCTTTGGCTCCCAGATGTGCTTGATGTAACTCTTCCTCCTGGCACTTCACTCAGAGCCTACTCTGCATATGAGTCAGGGCTCCATCACTATAATGAAATAACTGAGGCACTTAAATTATAGAGAGAAATGGGCACTTTGACTCCTAGTTTGGGAGGCTCTATTCCAACTTCAATGGTGTCCATTGCTATTAGCCTCTAAATAGGCAGCACATCACGGTGGGTGGGTATGGCAGGGCTAAAAATGACTCATCTGCTGAAACAAGAAGCAAAAATAGAAGAGACTGGGGTCCACAGTCCCCTTCAAACCACACCCTCAAGAACCCAAGGACTGTCCACCAGGTCCCACTTCCAGGGGTCCATCATCTCGAAGTACCAGTCCACCCTGGAGACCCAACTTTTCACACATGGACCTCTGAGGGACACATCTCCAAACCACAGCAGTCACACTAACTAAAAGACTCACAAGGGAAATCATCTACAAAACAAACAAGGATAAGGCTCCTGCATCCAGAGTTCACATCTTATCAGGGGCTCAAGGGAGAATGGACACCTGAGCAAATGCCATGACCAAAGTCAAATGATATTCTGTATCAATGTAAAACAGTTCTTTGTGTAAATGGCTCTTAAAAGGTTTTAATGTATTTTACTTATATAGTTGGTGTGTGCATGTGTGCACCGGTGTGTGTGTGTGTGTGTGTGTGTGTGTGTGTGTGTGTGTGTGTGTGTGTGTGTGTGTGTGTGTGTTCCACAGTGTGTGAGTGCAGGTCAGTAGACAACTTGCAGGAGTCCCTTCTCTCTTTCCACCATGTGGGGACCAGGGATCGAACTCAGGACATCAGGCTCAGCAGAAAGTGCCTTTACCCAAAGAGCCATCTCGCCAGCGCATCAAAACAAACTCTTAAAAGATTTTAGTTTTGTTTGTTTATTGTGACAGAGTCTCACCCTGCAGTGCAAGCTGGCCTGGCTCTGAGCTGTCTACCAGTCCTCAGGTCTCAGACTCCCAAATTCTAGAATTACAGGTGTAATACAAGAGCATATTGGTTATTTTTAGTCAATCTTCACACTGTCAAATTTGGGATACTTGATTAAATTGTACCAAAGAATATAGTTGCACAGTAGTGTTGATTATACCCCTAAAATTATTAACTAAATTATGAGCTACTCCCACATTCCTGAAATTTTTCTCACACAGAGGGTAAGAATGAAGAGTTGGAACTGGGGCCTGAACTATGGCTGATGCCTGCTTGTTCCTGTCCTCGGACTCCACTACTGGCAGTTAGTGGATTCCCTGGGGACAAAGTCCTCTTCATAACCAACCTAGACTAACACCCTGCACATATACCCCAAGCTTCTTAACAAGGCCTTTGGGATCATTTAACGAAGAAAAAAAATTGTTAACCTACATTGTTCTTAACCAAAGGTTAATTTGAAGTTATCTGAAATATAAGCATTTATCATATTAATTAAAAGAAAAGTCCAGTGGGTAAAATTTTATGGGTCTCACTATCAAAGAGGTAGCATAATTATAACAATAATAATAAAAAGAGATTGTTGGATTCCTGCTCCATATTGGTAAGGTGCATTTCCACACATGCCTATGCTGGGCAGGCATCACCATATCTACCTTGAAATAGGGTAGCAGAGGCTTGGCTGGTCCCTTGGTGCATCTTGTTATCCAAAGTCCCCTTTCATTAATCATTTCCTAGAAATAAATTATTCTTAAGTCCCTGTTTCAAAGTAACTTCTGATGTCACCATCATTACCTTTATCAGTTTTCCACTGTGTCTGAAGCTGGTCATGAGCTCAGGCATCACTAACGTTAACTAACTTCCAATGATGGGGCATGCTTGCTTTTTGTTTGGAACCCCCATCAACTTCCAAACGATAGACTGATTTGGGACTTGGCACTTATTATTTAATCGTACAGTATTTACTGAGCCTATATTTTTTTCCATTCTCATAGTTCCTATGGAATTGTCACTTAGTTACAAAACAAAACAAACAAACTAAAACCTCAGAGTCCGAAGTTAGTATCTTCAAAGTTCTACCAAGTTAAGGTAAGGAAAAATAAAAAGTGAAAATCCGTTTCATAATAAAGAAAATGTTTTCTTCTGCAATATCATCCTGTAGTACCAATGTTGATTTGTTGTTGAGTTTTGATGCTCTCTGACCCCTGCTGTCCTCCCTGCCTCTTGGGTCACTTCCAGCCTCGCTCACCACAGCCTCACCTAACACCAGGTCCTCCAGAACTCGTAGGTACACTCCCTAGAGCCGTCATTTCTTTTCCATACAGTTCCTCCAACTTCTCTTGCGCAAATCCCGATTCTCACCTGACACCGACAGTCCTAGTTGTTTACATCGATACACATGTGTCACCCACATGATGCACACATCAGAGCTGTCCACTTACAAAGCCTGAGAGGAGGAAGAGGAAGATCAATAATCTATACCACATTCTTGATGAGTAAACAAGAGATTTGCTTTACACAGGACTGGAGGTGTCCTTGGACGGCAAGGGCTTGGGAATAATAGATGCTTATTAGACAGTGGTTGAACACATGAATCTGAGCCTGAAAGACCACATGAATAAAATCTTCTCTGTTGATTACACACTGTTGATTCTCTGAAGCCACATGAAGAGAGAGGCAAGGTAGACAGAGAGGGACAGCAGAATCCGAAAAAACACAAAGCAATGCATGTGCACAGGTCAGCTTACCACAGAAAGGCTTTCATGGAAATATAGCCCCACATCATAGAAGTTGCCACCATGATGCACTGGGTGTGTTCTCATCTGCTCTGTTTGCCACCACTGTGAGACACAGGTCCCCAGCCGATCCAGCAGGGACACTCTGAGGCAGTAGGAGCCTTGTGGAACCTTGTCCTTGAGGCCTCTGATGCATATGATCTGTACTTGTACAGGCAACCGAGACTGCTCACCCTGAATAAAAGGCAGTGTTCTTGAGTTACACAGGAACCAGGTAAAACCTCACAATTAGCAACAATGGGCTTTTCGGGGGGCGGGGGGGAGGGAGAAAAGAGACAATTATTTTCACTCAACCTGTAATTGTCAGGTATCAGCAATGATAACAGATGAGGACCTATGATGTATAATTAAGAGGTCAAAAAGCAAACTCAAGGATGACAGGAGGGAAAGTTTAGCTAGTGTTTAGGCATGGTACGTTAATAATCTGTGACATCAGAAAACATTAATCTATTATAGCAAGATAGAATTAACAGGAAACCAACACTTCTAAACACCACACAGCATGTCTGCTGAGATACAGGGGAATGAGTAACCCTGATAGCGCATCTCACATGGGGAATTTGATAGTGAGCAGTCCTAAACAGCACTATTGCCAGACAATGATACCACACTGATAACTGTAAAATATGTCAGACTCACACCTCACCTGATCAAATACACTTTCAATGTGCAGCCCTGTCTCACAGGCTTCCCATGAGAACTCCCCTCTCCCCACTAAGAGAGGAAGAAATATCAGGACAGGGCTTAAACCTTTCACAGAGCGTCCGACTTTCATTGCTGGCTCACAGCTGACTGAAGCAGGCCATCTTCATTTTCAATAAATGTCAAAAGTTTGTCCAAATTGATGATTTTAATGAACTACTATTTCAGATTAAGTAGATGTTAAAGTGACAATCCAGATGGCATTAAGATTTATTTGTATATTTGCAAGTCCCTATTGGTTTTCAAAATAATTTGACCTTGAAGAATTCTCTAGCACCTCGTGCTTTGATAAAAATTGTTATTTTTAAAAGAAAGTTACTGTTGGATGTTCAGGTTAGTGGTACCACTGGGCTAGTCTACAGCCAACAGAAGATGTCTTAATTCTGCATAGGATTTCTTTGAAGAGATAATGTATATTTCCATATAGATAGTATGCTTCTAGAATGAAATCACAGTTAAATAAACAAGGAAAGTTGTTGAAGTTCTTTTGTTTTTCCATTCAAATCATACTTAAGAACTAATCAGAATAACAATTATTTTTTAGTTTAATTAGAAAATCTTAATTAACAACAAAGACTTAACCTTAATATTTTGGTTTCCAAAAATATTTTTAAAATTAACACCATGTGAATAAATAAGACAATCTTTTTAGACCTCAAGGCAGGATTAGTGATGCAGGCAGACGGAGTTATTAAACACATTCTAAATTAAACGCCTCTATGAATTTTATACTGAAATATGTTGTGATGGTTTTGCATGCCAAATGTGACATTTTGTGCTTTAGATTCATCTTCTGTAGTAATTTTGGAAATGTCATACAAACAAAGATTTTGTCATTTACCAATAGAATTACTATGCACGGTCGCCTAGCTGTCTCTGTGCCTGCTCTTGTGGTTGTTTCAAGTCAGCAAGCCATAAAGAACCTTTATCTCTCCGAAACACAGCAATTTGGAAGATAATCGAATGGTGACTAGGGGGCAGAAATGCCAGTCTGAGGAATTATACCACAATCTCTCTTGCATTTACAACCTCCATCAAGCGGGTGTCAGGCAGAGTAGGAGGAGACAGAAGATTCATCACAGCTCAAGCCTCTGTCACCTGCGTGGTAGCTGGCCTACCTTACTGTGCAGCAGGCACCGAGCCTGGTCCCACTGGTAGTATGTACCAAGGGATGCCACAAGCTGTTCTGCGGACAGCTTTTAGCCATTCTGGTTTAGCCTGGGATGACCGTCCAAAACATTCAGCAAGACCTGCTTTTGAAAACGTCTCCTTCTCCCAAGAGTTCCATAGGAGGGAAAGAGCAGTCAAGGACAGTAGCATTCCATGTCATCACCTGACATTCCACATCAGGGGAAAAGTCTGAACAAAGCACTCACCTTACGGCAAGCCTCTTCTGTGCCTAGGGATTCTTTAGTCAATTCTGCAAGTGAACGCTGCTCCATGACATCACCCTTCATACAGTCATCCAAATCCTCACTGAATGAAGCTCTGTGGCAGGTGTGACAAAGAAGGAAGAGGAAAAGTTGGAAGAAGGAGGGAAGGGAGGGAGGGAGGGAAGGAGGGAGGGAAATGGCAGTGGAGGAAAGGCTTGTCTTTGGATCTACAATGCAGATTAGTCTGGTGTTTTACTTAAACATTTTGTCAGATTAAGAATTAGATGATCACGGTATTGCAGGGGCTGCACTTAATGAATCTGGCATGATGGGGATTTGAAGTATGTTTCCATAAGATGTATATATGATTTACTCTATCAGTTCCTCATCTACCAACAATGGAAATGTCAGATCTCTCATAAATAACCAGGAGATCAAATCCAGGTATCCTCCCTGCCTGGGAGGGATGAACTCTAGGACACCTTTGCACACCAGAGTCTACAGGAGTTCCTGTCCCTTATATGACACAGCATAATATATGCATAAAACCTATGTACACACTTTCCATATACTTTAATTTTTGAGATTTATTTTTTAATCATATGTCTGTGTATATGTATGTGTGTGTAAGTGTCCACAGAGGTCAGAAGAGGGAGTCAGACCCCCTGGAACTACAAGCAGTGGTAAGCTGCCCCATGTGGCTGCTGGGAGTCAAACTCCAGTCCTCTGGAAGGAAAGCAAGTGTTCATAACTGCTGAGCCATTTCTCTAGCTTTGCCTCTTTCCATATACTCCAAAGCAGCTCTAGATGATTTATTACTATAATCCCTGATGCAATATAAATATCACATAAAGGTCTACTATACCATATTGTTTCTAGAAGAAAACAAGGAGGAAAATGCCTGTACATGTTCCATATGGCTAAGTCCATCATAAGCCTAACTACATTTTCAATCCATTAGTGGCTGTATCCACATCATCGAAGATCCACTATATTCAGTAAGTTTCTTCACTTTATTTTTCAACCAACCCATTTTTGAGCTTATAGTTTATTGAATCCTGAGAAAAACATTCCTTTAAGTTGGTGCTTAGAGGCTGGAGAGATGGCTCAGCAGTTAAGAGTACTTACTACTCTTAGAGAGGACCTGAGTTCAATTCTCAGCAACCAAATCAGACAGCTGTAACTCCTGTTCCAGGGGATCTGAAACCCTCTTCTGCCTTCATGGGCACTGCACTCACATGCACAAACCCAAACATACATACACATCTGTACTAAAATTACTGCTGGAAGGCATATGCTCTAGCCTGCTGTGACCCTCCCTCCTCCTGCTGTCCTTACAACCAACTGAGAAGTTATTCCTCCAAACTACAGTTTAGAGAATAATAATATTTATTGGACTTACTAACAGAACATGTAATGTCAGCGAGGAGTTACTTACAAAGATATGGACACCCTTGGGCCTTTCTTTTCTCCACATCTTTTGGCAGTTTCCTGAACTTTCTGACTGCTGGTCCAAGATGGCAAAGCACCATCCTCCTCCCTGGCTTCCACTGCGTCTCTCCTTGGTCCCCTCATGCAGTTAAGGCTGATTGGGTGGGAGGGGTGACTGTCCCCCTCCACCCCACCCTTCCTACAGAAATTCTTAGGGTTCTACAGTAAGAGGGGAGGGAGAGAAGACGAGGTCCATCTGTTGCTGGTCGTTCATTCAGAGGACATGCCTTATCCAACAACAGCATTTGAAAATAATTTTTTAATTAAGAAGAATAAATAGATGCTTAGCTGATATAACATAACTATTTTCCTTCTTACTGTGATAGCCAGAGATCAAGATGTATCTCTCCCCTCACTGCTTTTCCACAGTTAACATGTGCTTGCTTTGTTCAGGGTCTTCATTAATAACGTTTTTGTCTGTTGATGTCTCAAGCCCTGACAGCATCTGCCTGCTTTCCCAAATGCGTTTGAATTAAGAAGGATCATGTATCTCACTTCTCCTGACTTAAGCTTAATTCCAGAGGCAGGGCCATTGGTGGCAATGACTGTACCCCCACCAGAGGAATAGCCTTTTGGGGTCTCACTGCTGATTCAGTTTCCTGTGATACAAATGATCTCCCTTAATGTGGTTAGAGCTGCATTGACACATGGGTTCATTAGGATACCCATTTGCTGGCAATTCAATTTCAAATTAAATACACTTCATTGTAAATTTTATTACTTTTAAACTACTGTATCTATTGTCTTTAATGGCCCTATTATACAGTTATGAAGGTAAACAGATTTCATTAGTAAACATCAAACATTTTCTGTTAACCACAGTGAGATGATTTCCTCAGTTTCTTTCTTTCCTTGGCAGGAATTGCAAGGCACTCGGGAATAGCCTAAAATTTTAATCTGAATAATTAGATGCCACATTCACAATGAAAGGTTTTCTGAAATTAACTTCCTTAATGTTGAAAAGGAACACGATGCATAAGAAAAGGTTAAGACAGAGTGTGAACAGCGCACCAGGTACCCAGAGATACTCGGATGATTTGAACTCCCATAAAGCAATGGCATCCTAGGTCAGAAGCCAGAGTGGGCATGTGATCACAACTGCATTAGGTCTTAAGGCAGATAATTATTCCGGCCTTACCTTCTGATAGAGCTACCAACTGTATGATGATGCACATTCAGTGATTCCTCAGTATACACTGGAATGAGTTCCAAGACCCCTCAGATGCTGAAGCCTGCAGATGACTGAGTTCCTTGTATACAGTGGTTCAGTGTTTGCATAGAACCTATACACATGCTTACATAGGGGTGAAGTTATTTCTAAATAACTTATAACACTTAGTACAATTCAAACGTTTTGCAGATAGCTTTTGAGCTCTATTGTTTGGAGAAGTGATGAGAAAACAAAAGGCTGCACATGTGCAGTAAACATGCTGAAATTTTTCCAAATACATTTTTTTTAAGATTTATTTTATTGAGGTGCTTGTTTTGAGACAGGGTCTCCATGTAGCCCACACTGGCCTGGATCTCACAGAGATCCACCTGTCTTTGCCTCGTAAGCATTGGGATTAATGGTGTGGGCCACCATGCCTGGCAAGGTCTATTTTATTTTTAATTATGTGACTATGTGTGATTATGTGCGTGTGTGGGTACAGGTGCCCACAGAAGCTAGAAGAAGGTATTAAGTCCCCCAGAGCTGGAGTTACAAGTGGTTGTGAGTCACCACTGGATGTGGGTGCTGGGAACCAAACTCAGATTCTCTAGGAGAGCAGGTACTCTTAACCACTGAGATACCTCTTCAATCCCTCCAAATACTTTCTAACCAAGATTGGTTGAATCCATTAATGTACAAACCATGGTTATAAAAACCTGGCTATGTACATGCTCATCTGTAAACAATCAAAATCTTCCCAGACTAGATATAACCATGGATCAAATACTGACTTCTAATCCTCATAGCTAGATGGTTACATTATTCATTTTTAACATAAAGTGAGTCTGATGCCATAAGTATCAGAAAAAGGAGCTAAAGAAAATATAGTCCCTGGTTATAACTCCACATTTTTCTGAAATTAACTTCCTTAATGTTGAAAAGGAACACGATGCATGCAGTCTAATTTTTAGATATCCCCTAGTGTTTAATTCTAAATCTACCACGATTTATTTAAATGGTACCTTACTGTTGACTGTTTAGGATAGCACCTTAGCCTGTAATTAGCCCTCACATATTAAGTCTTAGAGACTTCTCTGACAATTTTCACAATACAAAGTCCTATCATTAGAAATATCGCACATGTGAAGAATGTTAGTCCATGTCCTACTGATCTCTAGTGCAGCACAGAAATGACACCTTGGTGACCTGCAATCCTGACTGCATGGCTGCTATCTCAGACACTAAGCAGTCCTCACAGGAAGTCAGTTCCCACCCTGGTAGACAGCAGGGAAGAGGTGGCACCCACGCAAAGCAGAATCTCAACCTCACCGTTGCTGACGTTTTCAAACGTAAGAGTCTTTGTCGTGGGGCTGCCATGTGCACTGTAAGGATATTTAGTGGAATCCTACCCTCTGCCTACTAGATACCCCTTAGCCACCCTACTTAGTCCCAGTTGTCACAATTAAAAATGCCATTAGACATTGCTAAATGTTCCCTGGGGGCTAAATTGATCCCTGTTGAGAACCCCTGAGGTTCCCAGCTTCCAGTAGTATTGTTTGCATTCAGCGTGCTCAGGGAGACTCTTTAAGATACACTTTATTTCTTATCTCATTCAACCTTTGGGATAACCCCATAGAGATTATCATTCCTGCTTAACTGACAAATAAATAATGCTGAAATATACTATTTGCCTTCTTCAAAGTCACACAGAAAGGGTAAAGCCTAAGGTTCCAAGTGAGACTATCCCAGGTAAAAAGCTGCCTCGACATAACTGTTGTGCCCACACCTGGGAAGTTCCTATGCTGGCCTTTTCTGAGAGAAATCAAACGTGGCTCCAGCTTCATCTCCATGGCTAGGATGCACATCTCCCAACAGCCTGCAGCTCATCTAGTCCAGGATGAAATGGGGCCATGCTTTCCAAAAGCCTGACCTTCAGGCTATATCAACCTAGGGGTACAATCACCTATAATTAATCCATACTTAATCCATAACAGCACACACACACACACACACACACACACACACACACTCGTCAACCTACCAACATACCAACTCTGACATTAAGGAACATACTTCTCCAATGTTTTGTCCAGCTTTAAACATAACAGAGGAATGTCCTGGCTGAGTCCTTTTCTTTCAAATTTCATATCCTGAATGGAAGAAAACAGAATGAGAATAAAATTGATCAAACTGACTCAAAACACACAGGAAGTCTCTCTATAAAATCTGGGCTTTCTAAGACCAGAATAATTATGGCAATCCTGGGAGGTTATGATTCCCCAAGACACATAAGAAGATTGGAATTAAACCACTGGTAGCTACATTCCCGTGGCACCTGAATTTTTTCGTTAGCATAAATACTGTCCCTGAGGTAAAAAACAGCATAAGCAAAGAGACAAATGCTCATTGGATACCAATACAGATTCTCTCTCTCTCTCTCTCTCTCTCTCTCTCTCTCTCTCTCTCTCTCTCTCTCCCTCCCTCTCTCCCTCCCTCCCTCCCTCCCTCCCCTGAGTATGCTATGGTTTCACAATATGTGAATGGATGTGTGACTGAAGGTATAGAATATATAAAACACTAGAGATGCTCGATACTTTAACCTTATAGTTTATTTTCCAATCCAAGCATTTGGAGAATAAAATAGGACACAATTATGCAAGAACGATGGGCCTAATTTTGATGATCCTATGTAAACTATGATGGATAGAAACCCTATTACTATGCCTGTAGAGTTATTGATAGGAAGTCACATAGGCATGCTCTGTGGGGCTGAGGAGGGGTGAAGAGGAAGAGAGAGGAAGAACAGTGGACATGGGCATGTCACTGGAGGATGGGATTGAGGTCATGCAGTTATGTAATCCATTCCAGAAGATGGTGGAAGCTCTCAAGTCTGGAAAGGATTCCCATATGGTTCGGAGCTCTGTCCCCTAAACCCTTGGTTCCATGCTCTGAATCTTCTTTTATGATTCTTTGACCAACTGACTTCTGGTATAACTTAAGGCCTATTCTTTACACGTGTGAACACATTTCCTTGTGACATTTTCATACCGTTCTTTGCTTCTTTTTTTTCCATAAAAGTGCCCATAGCTACCAGTATGTTTTCTCATCCTGCTTCCTGACAATAGCACTTAAGGCACCACAACATCTTCACTTGGCAGTTTCTTTGGGCCCAGAGATTTTCCAACTTTGCAAATCTTCCCTGGGTTTTATTAGTTTGCTTTATTGGATGAAAATGAAAACCACAAACATCTTGGAAGAAAGATGTTTCTCCTTGCACTTTAATGACAGAATAAGGTGTGAAGTGATTAGCTCTCTAGAAATCCTGTATTGTTTGATTGAGAGATATGGGGTACAGTCTTCATCTCATCAGCATCCTTTATATGAATAGAACTCAGAGGTTTTACCTTTGATTTTTCCAAGGTTCCAACCAATCCTTCTACTGTGTCCCTCTTGACTTTACCACTGAGCTACATTTTCCTGGCACGGGATATTCCTTTCTCTCTCTCTCTCTCTCTCTCTCTCTCTCTCTCTCTCTCTCTCTCTCATCTCTATCTCTCTCTATATATATATACATAATATGATTGTATATATGAGATAAAATAAAACAACCTAATTGTTTCATTCAGTGGATATTTTATCAGATGTCCTCAGCTTATCACATTCTAACTGTGAGGTTTGGCTTTCATAGTGGCAATGCTGGTCTATAGTTACTGATGACTGATACCAGGCTAGATGCTGCATTTCATTAATTTCTTCCTTTTACAACTATTTATTGTGAATTTGCATTTGGACAGCACCCTGTTAGAAGCTGGGAAAGTATATATGGTAATGCATCATGTTAAGTCTTCTTCCTGGTAGGTATGATAAAACACACAAGAATTTAAAATGACATCAAACATGGAAAAGAAATAGAATAAACAATGCAAAGGATGTTATAGAGAATAATTATAGGGGCCAATATTGTGGCAGATGGTAGATAGTTAGACAGGGATATTTGAAAAGAGTCCTCAGGATAAAGAAGAGTTTAGTCATGTAAAAAGTGGGAAATCTTGATTATTCTAGGCAGCAAAAGCAGCTTGTGCAAAGGCCCTGGGGTAGGATATGAATTTGCATATTAAAAAACTTTTAAAAGATCAACATGATTTAAATATAGTTACCAGGGAAAGTATTGATAAACAGGGTTGGAAACATAGGCAGGAGCCCAGTTCTGAGACACTGCTGATGAATCTGTAGGTTAGGTGCCTTTGCGGAAAAGTCAGTAAAGCATTTTGAACAAAGGAGTGATATGATAGTGTCTGACTTGTGGACAATGAACAATGAAGGGTTTTTTTAACTTTTAAAAAAACTTTATTGAGAATGTCATATATGCATACAAGGTGTTTTGATCAAATCCATACCCACTCCCTCCCCTCCAACACCTCCCATATCTCCCCATTACTTTTTTCTGACAACTTTCTTTCTCTTTCTTTCTTTCTTTCTTTCTTTCTTTCTTTCTTTCTTTCTTCTTTCTTTCTTTTTTAATGTTTTTTTTTTGTTACTCTAACATTCCCCCCTCTGAAGAGGTAACCCTAAAATTAGATAAGAGCTGCCACTCTTCAGATAGCAACATACTATGAACAATGAAGTTTTAAGACGTCAAATGGATGTCCACGGACCCTCCTATAAGCCATGGTCCTCAGCAACAATTGTAGCTGCAGGAAACTGGAAAGTGGGAATGGCTTTCCACAGGAAGGCCCTGAGAAAGAAGTTAGAAGCAAACAGGAAGAAACAGAGATGTTTCCTCCCCTTGTTTCTCCTGTGGATTGGGAGCTGCCTTCCATAGAGACTTTTTAAAGAAAGGGAAAGAAGCCGTCAAAGGGCTTCCCTCCCCCAGTCCTTCCCCTTCAAGATGGAAATCCTGCAGGACCTGGTGTAGGACCCCCAGACTGGGGTACCCTATGTTCTCGGGAGGCCGCACCCCAATAACTCAGTCCTCAAACCAGTAGATGCAATTGCATGAGGATTTATTATTTCGTCTATAGACGGCCTTCCACCTTGATCAAAAGGGGAAGTCCAGATTCAGCTTCGAAGCTTGCTTATATAGACAGAAACCACAAACCAGAAACAGCAGTGGGAGCGGGCTAGTATTCAGGTCACAGCAGAAGTGCTTGGTCACAGCAGAGCAGAAGTGGGAGGGGGATTTTTCAGGTATTTTTCCAGCTTGAGCAAAGACGCATGAAAAGGTCATCTTTTCTTCTCTAGTGTTAGAATTATTTTCCTTTTACTTCCTTGTACAGCTTCCCAGAATATAGCCTGGGAAACTTAGTTTCAGTTTACTTTAATGGGGGGGGGGGGGCTCTGATTTGATTCCATCACTGGAAGCCTGTGAAATAGTTGAAGGAGAAACTCAGCAGCAGAGGTGCCAGGCCAGACTTCCGATGGAAACTCTGAGACAGCACCGCATCATAACATCCCGTGTTCTAACAAGGTGTGGCGCCATGCAGGGAGTTGAAACCAGCATTCCTCTGTGGCTAGCCACCTCGAAAGGCCGCATTTGGTCCCTGTATCATTGTGAGAGTCTCTCCTTGTTGGGTGATTAGAGAAGGAAGATAAGATCACATAGCTCTGAATCTAAAGGGAATACATAGCCGAGGATGCTGGGTAATCCCTGTACTCCGAAGACCAAGGCCGGAAGATGAGTTCAAAGCCTGCCTAGGCTTCCTAGAGAGAACTTGCTTCAAATAACAACAAAGCAAACAAACAAGCAGACTGCTTATGAAAGCCAGTTGTTTTCAGATCTTCTCAAATATTTGAAAAGCATCTATTATTTCTCTTTAAACCCTTTTTATTACATTTTATTTTTTTTATTTTATGTGCATGTGTAGTGTATACATGTAGACATGGTTGGGTCACAGCATGCAAGAATCCATTTTCTCTTTCCATCATGTGGGTCCTGGGGATTGAACTCAGGTCCCCACTGTTTCTTAACAGCTAGTTACAGAATTAAAACTCTTATCTTATATAAAAAATTAAATTTAAGTATCTTCAAACTAGTTTTTGCCAAAACAGCTTATAAAACTAGTAAATAATGACTTGCCATAAGTGAGGAGCACAGGGACCAATTTCACAAAACTTGTCAACCAATATTATTAATAAACAAAAAGTTGGGTTGGAACATTTTACTAATACAAATCAAATTTACAAGGACTATAATTGTCACAAAAATACTATTTTTCCAAAATTATCTCTTTGTATTTCCCTATCTAGGCCAAATTTTCTGACAACAGTGAGAACTGATGCTGAGAGGACAACATTACTCTAGAATCTTCTTTCTCCAGAAAAAAAAGAGTAATCCCATCAAGTAATGTTAGATTTGCTATAAATATTTATAAACACTTGAAAACTGTTCCTCATTCAGCCATTTATCTTTCTTAAAAAAAGTTTTAATATTTTTATTTTATGTGTATGAGTGTATTGCCTGCATGTATATTAAAAGTGCACCATGTACTTGCAACGCCCATGGCAGCCAGAAGAGGGCGTTGTGTCCTCTGGAAATGGAGTTATATACAGTTGTCAGCTGCCATGTGGGTGGGGGGAACTCAACCCAGGTCCTCTGCAAGAGCAGTCAGTGCTCTTAACTACTAGGCCATCTCTCCAGCCTCACAGTTACTTATCTCTTGATGAGTGACAAAACTCAACAAAGGAACTATTGTTCCTAATTCTGCAAAGCTGTGAACTTCTGCCTTGTGTCTTAATGGTTGCTCAATTTGTCATCTAAAGAGTAACAGTGAAACTCATGATCTTCTTGCCTACAGTGTAGGGAAGATTAAAAAAAAAAAAAAAAAAAAGAATCTAATCATAGCTAATATTTACTACTATTTTGTGCTGTGTTAATCTAATGACTTTGTATGAACCAATCCACAGAATCCAAGCATTAACTACATACTATTACCCTCACTTTGTAAGTGCACAACCTAAATCAAGCCCAGAGAGCTGGCCTTCAGAGGACACGCTCTTGATCCTCACAGTAATGAACTCTGAGTTTTGTATTTCAGATGATTAAACCAATTCTATTTATTCAAATTAGTGCTCATAGACAAACACATGGAGAAACATTACAACCTTATAACTGCATATTTAGTAATAATAACCTATATCTGCATGGCAAATC